GGTGAAATTAGGCAATCACAAAAGGACAAATATTGTATGAAGCCAATGTAAAAAGTTAAATGGTTTTCTATATAAAAGAAACAAACTATGATGCTTCTGGTGGGGGTGAGGAATTAATCAAGAGCTAGAGGACAGACACGTGTGATAGGGCAGGCACTACACAACAAGAGGGAGGTTAACAGAGGAAAGATTAACGTGGTGGGAGACACAGGCAGGAATCTAACAGTTAAAGTGAACAGAGGTACATGGAGGGGATTACAATCATTGTAATATGCAAAGTACATGATTTGTTGAATATACAACTGATGATCTGCTCTATAAACCTTCACTTAATTCACAGTTTTCTTTATTTTAAAAAAGTGGGGGGGGGGGAGGATAGCTATATAGCAAAAAAACAAGGTTCATATTGTCATTTGGTAGAAAAAGAGGGTGCTGAATTTGAACATGTAATCAACCAGTAAAATTTTACTATTATCCTCACCAGATAAATTGACTTACAATCCTAACCATCTACTCCATTTTTAAATCTTGATTGTAGTCCCTACTCTCAAAAGTTTCAAATTCTTACTGAAGTAAGGCACCACCACCACCTCCTCCTCTAGATGAGTCAATTTCAACTCATGGCCATGCCATGTATGTCAGAGAAAAACGAACTATGTTCCATAGGGTTTTCACTGGCTGATTTTACAAACATAGATTGTCAAGGCTTTCTTCCAAGGCACTTCTGGGTAGACGTGACCTTGCGACCTTTTGGTTAAGCTGTGCTAGTTTAACATACACTACCCCAAGAAGGATGTCATGCTGGGTAAGGTGGAGGGTCAGAGAAAAAGAAGAAGACCCCCAACGAGATGGATCAGCCAGGTGACATCATTGATGGACTCAAGTGTGGCAGCAGTAGTGAGGTTGGCCCAGGATCGGACATTGTTTGGTTCTGCTGTGCATGGGGTTGCTATGAGTCGGTTCTGACTCAATGGCACCTGACAACAACAACAACCCCAAGAATCTGTTTACTTCCCCCATCTTCCTCTTCAAGTCTCAAACTAGTCAAAGGCAACTACACTAGTAATCTCCCAGGAAACACAATTGTCTTGAAGAATGAAAAGAAAGAAAACTAGGGAGTTTATGGGGTTTAGTAGAGTGCTGATAAAAAACGGGACTGGTTGGAAAGTTATTCAATGAGCACTCACTTCCTGATGTCTATTCATTAGTAGTATGGTTTCTAGTAACTTTAGAAGTTAGGCTGGAAAGGGGACCTGACATGGGTTCAGTATCTGCCTCCCCAGGCTGGACCCTCAGATGATCACCTCTGAGAATCTACTTATTGCAACTGCCTGTACAATTCATTTGGATGTTAATCATGCACTGTCTTGCATCTCTCCATGAAGAAATCATCTAAATTCTGTACTGCCATTTTTAAGACAGTTTCAAGACAATTTACCTTAAACTACTATTGTCAGGAGGGACCAGTCGCTGGAGAAGGACATCATGTTTGGTAAGGTGGAGGGTCAGAGAAAAAGAGGAAGACCCCCAATGAGATGGATTGGCCGAGTGGCAGCATCGATGGACTCAAGCGTGGCAGCAGTAGTGAGGTTGGCCAGGATCGGGCAGTGTTTCGTTCTGCTCTGCATAAGGTCGCTATGAGTCGGTACCGACTTGATGGCACCTAACAACAACAACAAGAATCTTAACTCTGTCTGGCACTTATATTCCAACAAGCAATTTTTCATTCAGTTCGCTTTTTCTTCTCAACGCCACCAATGGGCATTTCTACAAGTGATTTCAAAACTATGGAAGCATGGAGACACTGACCTACATACAAGATTCCCTGTAAGTATTAAAAAGGGAGATATTTTTGAACATGAAATGTCTCTGAGCAATAGAAACTCTATTCCTGGTTCCTAAAATTTAACAGCTCCCCAGTTCCACCTTTACACACACACACACACACACACTAGAAGCTCTGGACACAGTACACTCAGACACAATACAAGCCCTAGACATAGGTAGCATATTTCTCTATCTTACTATGCAGGTATGAAGTGTTATACCACATTGAGTTACCATTTGCTATTTCCAACTATTAACTTTTGGGTATTAAGAGTAGTTATTTGTTTTCCCCAACTGTAATTATTTTCATAAGTGGTCTTTACCAAACCAACCTATACAGCAAAGCAGTCTCAAATTTCATACTCAAAGAATTGATCATGAACTGCCAGAACAAAAAAGCAATCTACCTTGGAAGAAGCACAGCCAAAACGTGCCTTAGAGGTGAGGATGGTAAGACTTCCTCTCTTGTACTTTGGACGTGTTGTCAGGAGGGCCCAGTCCCTGGAGAAGGACAACACGCTTGGAAAGTAGTTGTTGTCACTTGGAAAGTGTAGTTAAGTCAGTTACAATTCATAAGGACCCTATATAAGGTTTCTAAGGAGCGGCTGAGGGTTTGAACCACCTACCTTGCAGCTCACCGTCCAGTGCTTATCTAACAGGGTCAGCAAAAAAAGAGGAAGACCTTGAAAGAGAAGGACCGACACAAAGCTGCAACACTAGGCTCAAACACAGCACTGCTAGTAAGGATGCCACAGGACCAGGCAGTGTTTCATTCTGTTGTTCATGAAGTTGCACTCCACAGCAACCAAACAACAAGAATTACCTGAGGGGAATTATTATTTAAAAAGAAAATAGAGGGTATATTAAGCAAGAATTCAAGTAAAGCCCAGGTAGGAAAGTTTAGCAAGCACTCCAGGGGATTATAGTAAGTGCCATTAAGTGGGTTCTGACTCATAGTGACCCTATGTAGGGTTTCCAAGGAGCAGCTGGTGGGTTTGAACTGCTAACCTTGTGGTTCATAGTCCAGTGCTGATCCTACAGCACCATACTAGGAGTCCTATACTCCATTATTTGCTTATGCTGCAATTAAAAGATGAAGCCTTACTTTAAAGATAAGAACTTTAGGATTCTTCTACTTTTAAAAGTATTTACTTCACTACACATTTTTCCACTCAAACCCAAAGCCCCCTAAAGATTAATCATGAAATGTGGATAACAATTGGTTGGAAATGCACAAACATTTTTAAATTAGTAGTCCATACTTGGTTCAAGCTCACCAGCTACTCCTTGGAAACAGGGTCGCTATAGGTCAGAACTGACTCAATGGCACTTAACAACAACTCCTGGTGTGGTGCTGTAGGATCGACGCTGGGCTGTGAACCATAAGGTTAGCAGTTCAAACCCACCAGCTGCTCCTCGGTATAAAACCCTTTTATACAGGGTCGCTATGAGTCAGAACTGACGTGACAACACTTAACAACAACAACAACTCCTGGTGTGGAGCAGTAGGATAAGCACTGAGCCATAAGGTCGGTTTGAATGGCAAGGTTGGTAGTTCAAACTCACTAGCAGTGTGGTGGAAACCCTATAGAGGGTCACTATGAGTCAGAACCATCTTGATTGCACTTAACACCACCTTGTTGTCTCTTCTTCAGTTTCTTAATACTCATTTAAAAACAAATCAAATTATAAGCAGTAGAGTGGTAAATTTACTTTTAAACGATGAGCTAAGTGATTTTTAGTTTAAGCTTTTCATTCATGGTATTTCATCTCATTAAATATCTGAAATTAACTATGATCGTATGTAACCAAAACCATCAAATCTATTAATAAAGTGGGTTTCGCAGTTTATTTAAAAAGATGATTCTATTTACTTCCATTGATGTTAAAACAAGGAACATCAGTAGAATTATATAAAGATCAAATGACAATGTAACTTTCAAGTGTAAATTTATGGCACAGGTGAGAGAACTGAACATCAGACAGGAAGGAGTATAAACTTTGTCTCATTTTACTTGCACACTAAAGGTTTAATGTAACACAATTTATTTTAAATAAACCTTAAAAAGTCTTCATATCCTTTAATTATTTTCCATTCGTTTGCTATTTCTCTTTGAAGTCTGTTGTTAAGTGCCATGGAGTCAGTTCTGACTCATAGCGACCCTGTATAGGGTTTCCACAGAGCGACTGGTGAGTTTGAACTGTCAACGTTGTGGTTCAAACAGTGCTCATCCTATAGTGCCACACCAGGACTCCCTTTGAAGTCTAGCTCCCATGTATACCCGTTCTTCAAAAGTTCAATAAGAATCTTTTAGAAGCAAGAAAAGGTAGTAAATGAATTGATAATTTCCTAAAGGCACATATTTCTAAATATGCTTTTATATTTAACTAAGGCCTCGGGCTGACTGCTAAAAAGGCAATGTTCATGTATGAGTTCCATTTCTTAAAAAACACAGGCACAGCTACTAAACTTTCTAACCTGGTAACCAGCCACACATGACGAAGAGCATCACTTACACTTCTAGCCTTAAACCTGCATCTCAACTCCATGCAATTTTCCAAGTCCTCCTAAGGGAGGACTTTCATCAGGCCAAGAAAATTTCTTGTTCCTTTTTTCCCTCCACCCAACTGTTAGCTCTAGAACAAAAAAAGATGCCTGAAGGGTGATATACTCACTCCAGGTGTGTTGGGGGTGCTTTCTGGGTTCCCTCCCCCGCACCCCAAGAAATTAAAGGGGAAGATATAAGGGCGCCAGGACGAGGAAGCTAAGAATTTCCTGTTCACCTTTTCTCTGTATTTCCCTGTTGTTAGGTGCCCTAGAGTCATTTCCAGTACTTACTTCCCTAAAAAGCTCAACTCCAGAAGTTTATATAGCCGCTAAGAAACCCTATAAATTATTTAGATTGGGGGGCGGCATTTTTAAAACTTGTTTTAAAAGATCAAAACAGTTGCATGTGATGGAAATATCTACATAATCCCGTTTTGAACTGAACCCATGGCCTGATCAACTTGGCCTCCCCACCAGGGTTTCTCTGTCACTTTCTAAGGATGGGCTCCGTGTGGCTGGCGGGCACAGAACTCTGACTGGGCGAGGCCGGCTCCCACCACTATGGGAGCTCACCCTGAGTTCGTCCTCGGGCCCGGCGGGCGGTAGAGACGTTAGGATCTCCTACCTTCAAAGTCTGCTCATGGCCGCCTATCTTTGTCCGTCTCACAAACACCACGGGCACTTCGGTTTCTGAGGTCAACGCCGCGAGCGCAGCTTCCAGGCCCTGCCGGTCGGCTACAGCACAAAAGCAGAGAGGAGAGGCCGTGAGGGCGCTCGAGCAGCCGACCGCGGCGGGAACTGCGGCAGGAACCGCGCGGGGCGGAGCTTCCGGGCCCCGGGCCTCCCAGTCTGTGTGCCCGCGGGCCATGTGGGGACTCCCGGCCGGCAGCGGGAGTGGGGCCCGGCCCTGCTTGGCCTCGCAGTCCCTGGAAACGTGGCCTCCAGCCGAGCTCTCTGCGGCAGGGCTGCGCTCGGCGTTACTGCGAGGCACGGCAGCCTACGGCCACACAGCCTCTGGCCCAGACCGACTCTGACACAGTTCCTAGCCTTCACAAAGCGTCTCCCGGTTCAAGGTGGCTTTCACACAACTCGGCATCTGTACGTGGATCCCCAGATCCAACTTCCCAGGCTTTCTTGAAATTGGAAAACACGGGGCAAAATACCGAACACGGGCCATTTTAGATGCTTTTCTTTAAGACCTTTGAAGCAATACCTCAAATTCGAGATAAGAGCTGGAAGCACTTAACCAATTTTCAACAAAGGTTGAGCTCAGGTACAGAATGAGTCAGTAGTGGAATTAAACAAAGAATCCACTTACACTGACATCAGGCCCATTCAGGAGACAAAAGTAAACACTCAAACGTTAACTACACTGACTGAGAACGGCAGCTAACACTTCCATAGAGCTTCCGTGCCTATGCACATTTGGTCCATTTCGCAGGTAGGTTGACTGAGGCACGGAGAAGCTATGTAACATGCCCAAGACCACGAAGCTCGTTCCGAAACAGCAAACCGAGTCTGCACTCTTCCCCACGACAAACGACTCTGAGGTCAGAACCACGGGACTCGGGTCTTGCTGCCGCCCTTCATCATCTGTGCCACTTGACCTTTCTCTGAACTTTGCTTTCCCCACTTATAAAACATGGCGATTCCATGGAGCACCTTGCCAACCTCTCAAAATTTCTGGGAATTAAATGATTCAATCCTGCCTTGAAAACACACACACACACACACACACACACACGTGTATCTTTACACTTTTTTTTTTAACGCTGTCCGCGATCTGTCCATCATCTACATTTCAAGAGTCGTGCACTAAGAAATGATGCAAAACCCATTTTCTGAGCTATTCTGCAAAAGAGAACAAGAGGGAGGTAACCATGAGTGGACAGGGTGCCAGTCTCCCCTATCACACGCTGAAGCTCTAACCTGGCAGAGGTGAAAATCGCCTCCCTTAGGAAACCCTCATCTCCCATATCTCGGACCCCATCTTCCCGGACTCATAATGCACCGACGGGCACAAAGCTCACATCCCTGTAAGCAGACAGTCCCCAGGATGCTCACTTCCTACGGGCGAGGCGCTCGGTCGGTTTTTAATGACCGCGGAGCTTACATGGACGCGAGGAGTAGAAACGTCAGGCTCGGCTTCAGAAGCAGGGCTTCCTTCGGGTCCGAGGCGAACGCGGGACTGAAGTGGACTAAGGTGAAAGAGTTGCAGGCTTCCAGAGGCTACGAGAAGCCACGCCTTCTCGGAGCCGGTAGGCAAGCAGCCAAAGCCAGAATGACAAAGCAAAAATCCACTCCTCGTGCAGACCTGGCAACCTACGCTAATCGCTAATCGGTTTAGCGAAGTGAGAGCTCCGTATCTGAGTGACACCATATCCTCTTCCTGCTCACAGACGCCCCCAACGCAAAAAAGAAAGAGCAAAAACCATTGGAGAAATAAATGCTTTGTAACCAAACCCAAGAGAGAGAATGTGTTTAACTCAATAAAACTGGATTATGCCTTAAAGTAGTGCCTCCAGAACTGGGCTGCTCATTACAATCACGTGGAAATCTTTAAAAAATACTGAGGCCTAGCCCCCACCCGCCCAGACATTCTGATGTAATTGGTCTGGGGTGTGGCCTGGGCATCAGAGTTGTTTTGTTGTGTGTGTTTTTGTTTTTTTTTTTCCCAAAGCTTTCCAGGTGATGCTAGTGAACAATAAAGTTTGGGACCTATTGCTTTAAAAGTAATGGATTGGTCAGTTTGGCAATTCCCTAAAGGAAGTTACCAAGCTTTTGAAAGAAATGTCTAGTCCCTTCTGACTAATTCTGAACAGAAGTGACAAATTCTCACCAACACATAAATTCCCCTGGGAGTACTTCCTGCTTGTCCTTTTTTGTTTTGTTTGCCTCAACAAAAAACAATATATTTAACTCCAGCCTTACCAAGCTACCTGCAGCTGTGGAAGTGAGTCATGATCCCTAAAACTTCCCTGCTCCTCTTGGTCTGTTACTCAGCACCTTGTACCAGTAGGTGGCTACCAATAGTTGTTAAATGAATGAATGAATACATGTCTTCCCATTTCTTTACTCCCAGACCTTGCCCTGTATCTCTTCTTTATATTGCTCCTAAGCTGTAGCCTTTTTTGCTGTAATAACACTGTAATCATAAGCATACTGTCTTCCACGAGTCCTATGAATCATTCTAGAAATTTATCAAACCTGAGGGAGAATGGGAGCCAGCAGGTCAGAAGTGAGGAGACTAGAGACTGCCCGGCCTGTGCCTGGAATCCTGAGGGGGTAGAAGGAACTACCCAAATTTGCATCCAGCTGCTCAGAAGTGAGGGTATTGTGCGGACTCCCAAGCTTGCAACTGGGATTTGAGGTCTTGGACAGACTTGGAAGTCTGGAGGATTGTGTTAGATCAGGAAAGCCTCTTCACAGCCCTGCTGGCAGGCACACCTAGGCCCAGTGACTCCTTGGCCACTGCCCTGTCACAAAGCTCTTTTAGCCCTGCCGATTAATGCCCAGAGGCACCCAATTCTGCCAGTAAGCCTCCTGCCTGAAGGCACTCAGCTTTCTCAGTCTCTGGGCCAGGAAACCAGTGCGTCATCTCCTGCCAGTCTCCTGCTTCTGCTGCCTCTGCAGCTGCTGCTTCTCTGCCACTGTTTCTTGGGGTCTCTCACCCTCTGCAGTGTCACAGGTTCAGCACAGGATTTCAGGTTCCAAGGACACATTCCATTCCTGGCTCTTCTGTCCTGATGGTAATGAAATCCCACTTTCCACCTAATGAATGATATGGCAAGACTGACATGACACTCTTGCATATTTGGGTTTCAAATACCTTATTTGCATGGTCCAACAGGTTTGCAGAGTCCTGGTGTGGAGTTGTATGATGAGCAATGGATTGCTAACCATAAGGTCAGTGGTTCAAGCCCATCAGCCACTCCTTGGAAACCCTATGCAGGGTCGCTATGCGTTAGAACCAAGTCCACAGCACTTAACAATAACAAGGTCTGCGGTTCGAGCCCACCAGCCACTCCACAGGATAAAGATGAGGCTTGTCTGCTCCAGCAAAGACTTAAAGCCTCAGAAACCATATGCAGGGTTACTATGAGCTGGAACTGACTCTTAACAGCACTTAACAACAACCACAATAACAACCCTCACTGAGGGTGCCATGTACCTTATTTACATTGTTAGCAAGTAATCCAACCTGTGTATAATTTCATCTCCTTTTACACCTCTAAGTCCCTATGTCAAAACTTAACACTGCTCTGGAAAATGGAAAAAAATAATAGTATGCCTAGCACTTAGTAAGCATTGAAAAATTCTTAGGTAGTATTCCTAGTCCTCATTGATAGGACTAGAAATACTACCTAAGAATTAACAACAACAACAACTAAGTGCTAGACATAGATACTATTACTTTTTCCATTTTCCAGAGCAAAAACAGAGGCGTAAAGGAGAAAATTATCTTGCTCATAGTCACCTAGATAATAAAAAATTGCAGAGCTGAGATTGACCCCAGTCCCTATTCTTACCACACTGCTGCTGTTCTACCTCAGAATGTCTCTAGGCAGAAGAAGCAGCATATACAAAGACATAGCAGTAGAGAAGCAGTGTTAAATTCTGACATAGGGACTCAGAGGTATAAAAGGAAATGAAATTATACACAGGTTGGATTCAATATGTAATGGGCTTTGGGGTTCATAATGTACCGAGGTGCCTACCTCTTTCCCACATATTCTCAGATGACTCTCAAAATCATTCCAAGTGTTATACTCATATTGTTGTTGTTAAGCATTAAGTTGGTTCCAACTCATAGCAACTCACTCAGTATAGGGTTTTCAAGGAGAAGCTGGTGGGTCTGAACTACCAACTTTGTGGTTACCGGTCAAGTGTTTATCCTACAGTGCCACACCAGTCCAGAGGTAAAAACAGAGGCTTTAAGAAATTAAGAATCAGAGGTCATCAAGCAGGTATGTGGTAGAGCTGAGCTATAAGTCCAAGTGTGCTTATCGCCAAGTCCATTGTTTGTCTTGTGAATGTGAATGATGTCTAATGAAGTACGGGCAAAACAGAGGGGAAAGCAACATGTGGTAGGGACAAAATATATATATATATAACTTTCTAACAAGGTCCAGGGAAGACTTCATCCATGAAACATGCACCATGAAAGCTCATTCATTCATCGTTTGAAATCCTGCTCAGAGAACCATGATCTCTGTGAAGCTTCTCTGATCAAACACAAAACTAATCTCTCTGTCTTTCTTTCTTATATCAGCTCCATTTATTTACAGGTCTGCCACCCTAAGAGCTGTCACTGAGCACTTCTGTGCCAGGCGCTTGACAAGCTTCGCGTTAATCATCTCAATAACCTTTTGTGATAAGTATTATCACCTCCATTTAAAGCTGAATAAACCAAGGTTAAGTGACTGGCCAAGGCCTCCTGAATAGGCCAAGAGTTAAGCTGGCCTGCTTCCTCTTTTCTGTACCACAGTGTTCTTGAGGAACTGGTTTGTGTATCCTAGCACCTGGTGCAGTACCTTTCTATAGGAGGCACTCAATCAAGGTTTGAACTCAACTGGCACTTTGGCAGACTTTAAAAATGTCACTGAAGTAGAGAAGAGAGTCTCAGGTGCACTGGTAGGTTTTCTAAGGTGGTGGTGGTGGTGGGGGGAAGTGTTGGGAAGCCCAGATTTGTAGCATTTGCTAGTTTTTGTAGTATAAATAGTCTCACCTTGTCT